AGGGTGTTTTTCAAACTGTAGCACAAGTTTAACATGAGCTGCTAAAAGTTTGCACTCACATACAAATAGATTCAAGAACACCTTCTTCCCTGCTGTTAATAAATGTCTGATTTTTTTTCTCTATTCATTTGTGGAATGTGGGCATCGTTGGCTGGGCCAGCATTTATTGCCTGTCCCTAGTTGCCCTTGAGAAGGTGGTGGTGAGCTACCTTCTTGAATCGCTACTGTCCACCTGCTGTGGGTTGACCCAGAATGCCATTTGGGAGGGAATTCCAGGATTTTGACCCAGCGCCAGTGAAGGAACGGTGATACATTTCCAAGGCAGACTGGTGAATGGCTTGGAGGACAACTTAAAGTGGTGTTGTTGCCATAAGTCTGCGACTTTTGTCCTTCTAGATGGAAGTGGTCGTGGATTTGGAAGGTGCTGTCTGAGGATCTTTGGTGATTTTCTGCAGTGCATCTTGTAGATAGTACACACTGCTGCTACTGAGTGTCGGTGGTGGAGGGAGTGGATGCTTGTGGATGTAGCGCCAATCAAGCAGGCTGCTTTGTCCTGGATGGTGTCGAGCTTCATGAGTGTCGTTGGGGCTACACTCATCCAGGCAAGTGGGGAGTATTCCATCACACTCCTGACTTATGCCCTGTAGATGGTGGACAGGCTTTGGGGAGTCAGGAGGTGAGTTACTCGCTGCAGTATTTCGAGCTTTTGATCTGCTCATGTAGTCACTGTGTTATATGGTGAGTCCAGTTGAGTTTCTGGTCAATGGTAACCCCCAGGATGTTGATAGTGGGGGATTCAGTGATGGTAACACCATTGAATGTCAAGGGGTGGTAATTAGATCATCTCTTATTGGTGATGGTCATAGCCTGGAATTTGTGTGGCGCGAATGTCACTTGCCACTTGTCAGCCCAAGCCTGGATATCGTCCAGATCTTGTTGCATTTGAACATGGACTGCTTCAGTGTCTAAGGAGTCATGAATGGTGCTGAACATTATGCCATCATTAGCAATAGTCCCACTTCCGACCTTGTGATGGAGGGAAGGTCATTGATCAAGCAGCTGAAGACGGTTGGGCTGAGGACACTACCCTGAGGAACTCCTGCAGAGATGTCCTACAGCTGAGATGATTGACCTCCAACAACCATGACCATCTTCCTACGTATCAGGTATGACTACAGCTACTAGAGAACCCCCAAACTTTAAATTTATAATGTTGATCTTGCTCTCTGTACACCTCTGCAGTCATAACCTTGTATTCCTCAATCTGTTCTTATATGTATGTTATGGTCTGCCTGCAGTGAACACAAAACAAAACTTTTCATTGTACCTAGGTACATGTGACAATAATAAATCAAATCAAACCAAACAGAGTCCCAGAGATAGTAGGAACTGCAGATGCTGGAGAATCCGAGATAACAAGGTGTAGAGCTGAATGAACACAGCAGGCCAAGCAGCATCAGAGGAGTAGAAAGGCTGACGTTTCGGGCCTAGACCCTTCTTCAGAAATGGGGGAGGGGAAGGGAGTTCTGAAATGAATAGGGAGAGAGGGGGAGGCGGATAGAGGAGAAGATAGGTGGAGAGGAGACAAACAGGTCAAAGAGGCGGGGATGGAGCCAGTAAAGGTGAGTGTAGGTGGGGAGGTAGGGAGGAGATTGGTCAGTCCAGGGAGGATGGACAGGTCAAGGGGGCAGGATGAGGTTGGTAGGTAGGAGGTGGGAGGAGGGGATAGGTGGGAGGAAGGACAGGTTAGAGAGGTGGCGACGAGCTGGGCTGGTTTTGGGATGCGGTAGGGGGAGGGGAGATTTTGAAGCTTGTGAAATCCACATTGATACCATTGGGCTGCAGGGTTCCCAAGCGGAATATGAGTTGCTGTTCCTGCAACATTCGGGTAGCATCGTTGTGGCACTGCAGGAGGCCCAGGATGGACATGTCGTCTGAGGAATGGGAGGGGGAGTTGAAATGGTTCGCAACTGGGAGGTGCCGTTGTTTATTGCGAACTGAGCGTAGGTGTTCTGCAAAGCAGTCCCCAAGTCTCCACTTGGTTTCCCCGATGTAGAGGAGGCCACAACGGCAACAGCGGATGCAGTATACCACATTGGCAGATGTGCAGGTGAACATCTGCTTGATGTGGAAAGTCTTCTTGGGGCCTGGGATGGGGGTGAGGGGGGAGGTGTAGGGGCAGGTTGGAACCAATGCATCATCCTCCGACACTTCCGCCATCAGCAATCCGACCCCACCACCAAAGTCATTTTTCCCTCCCCACCCTTATCTGCTTTCCGGAGGGACCACTCTCTCCGTGACTCCCTTGTCCGTTCCACACTCCCCTCCAGCCCCACCACACCCGGCACTTTTCCCTGCAACCGCAGGCAGTGCTACACCTGCCCCTACATCTCCCCCCTCAACCCCATCCCAGGCCCCAAGAAGACCTTCCACATCAAACAGATGTTCATCTGCACATCTGCTAATGTGGTATACTGCATCCGCTGTACCCGTTGTGGCCTCCTCTACATCGGGGAAACCAAGCGGAGGCTTGGGGACCGCTTTGCAGAACACCTATGTTCGGTTCGCACTAAACAACTCCCCCTCCCATTCCACAGATGACATGTCCATCCTGGGCCTCCTGCAGTGCCACAACGATGCTAGCCAAAGGTTGCAGGAACAGCAACTCATATTCTGCTTGGGAACCCTGCAGCCCAATGGTATCAATGTGGATTTCACAAGCTTCAAAATCTCCCCTCCCCCTACCGCATCCCAAAATCAGCCCAGTTCATCCCCGCCTCCCTAACCTGCCCTTCCTCCCACCTATCTCCTCCTCCCACCTCAAGCCCAACCCCTATCTCCTACCTACTAACCTCATCTCGCCCCTTGACCTGTCCATCCTCCCTGGACTGACCTATCTCCTCCCTACCTCCCCACCTACACTCACCTTTACTGGTTCCATCCCCGCCTCTTTGACCTGTCTGTCTCCTCTCCACCTATCTTCTCCTCTATCCATCTTCTTTCCGCCTCCCCCTCTCTCCCTATTCATTTCAGAACTCCCTTTCCCTCCCCCATTTCTGAAGAAGGGTCTAGGCCTGAAACGTCAGCCTTCCTGCTCCTCTGATGCTGCTTGGCCTGCTGTGTTCTTCAAACAGAGTCCCATATGTTTTAGTTTCCTTTTTGTAAGGGAAAGGGAAAGTACAGTGGGTTGGTATTTTGGATAAACAAGCTAAGGGGCCTTCGTCACTAGTTACAAACAACAACAACAAAGAATGAGTCATTGGTGTCTGAAAAATACTGAAATAGTTCAGCAGTTACTCCACAATGTTTAATTAAAACAGGCACAAGAGGCAAACCTTCGAAAAACACAGACAGAACAGCATCTTAACTATGCCAGGATCAGTTTAATTGAGAGTTTTAATTGCATGCTTCCTTTACTCCAATCGACATGCTACTCCAGAGCATGTTAAGGAGTTTATGTTAATGATGTTTGATTAGAAAGTTGTGACTGGTGACTTGTTTCTGCTCCAACCAGCATTACACTAGTCACATGGGGAGGCAGCGCCACTTGGTGGTGATTCTCTTGCTACAACAACTTGGTCCAAATCTTCAGATTGAACAAATAATGCACGTCAGACGTGCATGGGAACTGCCTAGGAAATTTAAAACTCCTGATAGGGAACCGGGCAGCAGGACTTTGCCTCTGCCTCTGCGTACATCTCCAGCCTAAGACAAAGGTGTGAAGGTGCCAGTGTTGGACTGGGGTGGACAAGGTCAGAAATCACACAACACTGGGTTATAATCCAACAGGTTTATTTGAAAACATGGACTGAGACTCCGAAAGCTTGTGTTTTCAAATAAACCTGTTGGACTGTAACCTGGTGTTATGTGATTTCTGACCTAAGCCAAAGGCGGCAGCCTGAGAAAGATATGCTCATTTTACTGAGTTACCCAGGCACTTTTAAGCAAGTTTAAAAACCGGTTGTAAGGTTGGGGGATTATCCAACCATTATTCCATCCCATCTGTGACAACAGTACGGCTCTAATAAATGTATTTTGTCCTTTTTTTGAAGATAGCTTTTAAGACAGAGGATCTGAATGGTCTACTTAAATCCGATAAAGTAAACAGCTTGAGGTGCCTTGGTCTGTTTTAAAAAAAAAGTTGGAACATTCAAAGCAGCTGAACGGGTGGGGTCAAGCTCCCACAAAACCAGGATTTTCAGTTTTAGTTTCTCAGTAGCTGTTGCTGGGGTCTTGAGGCTGGCTGTGGAAGCAGCAGTACATCTCTCCCTGCTATTGTTTTCTCAATGCTTTTCTTCCTGGGCTGGAGAACTGCCTGAGACAATCTATTTCACTGAATTTGCCTTTACCAAGGGTGTGTTTATGGGATGTTACTATATTGGAAGTTACTGATTAGTCATTAAATAATCCATTATTCTGTTAAGTTTTTTAAAAATTGTTATTCCAATTTCTTCTTTATTGTATTTTAACTATAGTCTATGAATAAATGTATTTTGCTTAATGTTGAGTAGTTTGACCAATTGAATTGCGTCCAGAATGCAATGCTTGGCACTTGCCTCTACTATAAGGCTACGTCCTAGTATTTTTTTTGAGGGAGTTTGATCTGGTCCATAACACACCCATTCATCTGGCTACACCCCTGACCATCCCACTGAATTGATCCAAGTACCCCCTTTACCCACTCATTCATTAGAAAGACTGGACCTTGAAACAGTTATTAGCAAACAGCAGCCACTGTCACGTGTGGGTATGTCTTCTGCTTCAACCAGTTTTACTGTGGTCTGCTGGGCTTAGCTGGGGAAATTCAGTATCCTTCCACATTGAGATGCTGCTCATAACACACTTCTATGAGCTGTGGCATTTTCGTGTCTCACTTAAATACTTGTCTCAAAGTTCCTTTTGAAGCACCTTGAAAGGTCTTGCTATATGATTTCAAGGAAAGTTGTGAATGAAAAGCTGCAAATTAACATACCAACATGACGTGGGCTGGATTCCTTTTCTTCACAGCAAGTTTTTATTTGTACATCCAAACAAAGATCATTTATCACACTATATACAGATATTACATACAGTGTTTATACACATATTACATAGTCTGTACACAGAAAAATATACATAAAAATGTAAACTTTTGTATACAAAAAATACCTTAAACAAATTAAACAAGGACAATAACAAAAGGTGACTAATTTAATTATTAGCTCGCCTTATTTTAAAAAACAGAAATACAGTACATTCATTGAATATAAGAAATTTGAGCCACCTTTCCTGTTTCTCAATGTTGAAGCAGTTTATAGGACTATTGTGTTTTTCCACGGGCTCCTTTCTCTTTTTTTTGCCATAAAGTCCCTGATACTCACAAACCAACTGCACGGCTGGGTTGAGAATGATAATGTTGTGTTGGATGGTGGTGAAATAGGAGAAATTTAAATCTGGGCGATTCCAGACAAAAGCCAGTTAGAGTCAGGAAGTGGGTAAGGATTGAAGAGGGGGCTTGGACAGGGGAGGACAGTGGGGTCAACCCTGTAGGAATTTCCCAGATAAACGTCTCCTGGACTTCAGGCATTTTTTTTGATTACATTTAATGACTCTGACTTTGTGAAATTTAGCAATTGTTTAAGATGTCCCCACCCAAAACTGTGTCTAGGGGCTTCATGAGTGCTTTGAAAGCTCATAGTTCTACAATATGCATAAAAGGAACATCACGCATGAAATGTAGCCTGAAACCACTGATCCCTGCTATCAAAAGTCATTTACAATATAGTTCCTCCAGAAAAACAAGTGTGAGAGACAGATTGTGATAAGAGACACAGCCCAGCAGCACTTTTAGTACAACTCCCTACCCTCCTCTCCCTAAACAACCTTACTAGGAATTTTCTTAAACATAAAATAAACTTCAAGTGCTTCAGCCTCTGAAAAGAATCGAATCATGTTGGTGTTTTCTGGATCTATGACAGAAGAGGGCCTGAAGAAAGGTGCCAAAAAGATGCGGCGACAGCTAGCTTAGGGGGCGCGCATGCGGTTCAGTGAGTTATACATTGTGGCTTCCCCAATAGGTTTCCGATATTGGAGAACTCAGAGGCATTTTGGAATGAAAGAACTATTGTGAATTTTAAAAACAGACAAGGATAGCTTCAAATGACAATTCTGTACATTTTCTTTGACTGGAAAATTGATCTCCTTGCAAGGAAAGTTGCTTTTTTTTTTGGAGACTCACGTTATAAGGGGTATGGGCTATGGATAAGAGAGAGCTCTTGTCAAGGCACCAAGAGGATCATGCAGCCCGCCTCGATACATGTTCTTAAAAACAATGCACTCTTATTTGGGGGTAGGCAGGGGCTTCACTGTCAAATTGCATTAAAAATTGGAAGCATTTTAGCTGGTGTCTTAAATAATGTAATGAAGGCCTTACTGATGCCTTTGCCGCCTGTCTGGCTTATCTTAAAAACCACATGACCAGCATGAGTCATATTAAACTTCATTTCACAAGCTGTGTCTTCAGTCCTCCCCTTGTGTATTGCTGTACATACTACTGAAGCAGGACCGCCAATTCAGGGGGTCAAGTGACATTCCTTTAGTTCATGAGGGGGTCCAAGTGAGCAATTAGTTTGAGGGCATGGCTCACTTCGTACAAATTGAAGACAATCTTTTATACACATACACATCACACTGTAATGCCAAGGTTATGCGATCATGTTACCAAGACTGGCAAGCACCCACTGCTCGTCAAAATTCCTCTGGACAGAGAAAGTCTCAGCACTGAACAAGACCTCAGGCAAAGGGAATACTTTAATTGGCTCTAATTCTACCAGACGTTGGAGTTAATGGAGGTGACAGCCGAAGGCCATAAAATCCAAGCCTTACCTCCCATAATGAAGCTCGTGTATGCATCCCCCCTTTTCCCTCAAATCTGCTTCTAGTCAAGTCTTGTATATATTAAAAAAAAACTGAACAGGTTTTATAAATAAAACTTGTGTTTTTGCACCAAGTTCAAAATCACAACAGCACTGTTAAGAAAGTGTTAGTGAGTTGTATACCTCCAACATGCCCAGATCTCTGACTAAGCAATCAACCAGAACAGTAGGACAAATGCACAGATAACATGTAAGTGTATGGCAGGGAAAGAGGCATACAAGACTTCTCTATTCTTCCACATGAAGTACCTCTACCTTATTTGTAATCTTCACATTTTGGATTAGGATTTTGAAACAAAGGAATAAAAGCTGGCATCTTATGTGCCAATAATTTATCAAATGGCAGAAAAAGTCAAACTTTTCCATATATCCTGCTGTTTAAAAGATGACTACTTTCTCATACTGTTTCTGCTTTCTCCTCTTGTTATCTTTGAATGCTTGGTAGCCCCAAAGAGCTACATGAAGATGGCATCAAAAATATTTCACATGAAATATGCTTTCCCTCTTGCCCTCTTCCCCAATTAGGAGGAGACTGGATCTAGATGGGAGAAAAGACATCTGGGGGATGATATACTGCTGGTGAAGCACAAGAAAGCATGTCCTTCAGACTGCTGCCTTTTATTCAACACACCGCTTGTAAAAATAAAGATTTAACAATTGTTTTATATAAATGACAATTAAAATTATGAAATTGCCATTTGTCTCAATCTTTGCAAAAATTCATAAAGAATTTCAGCAGAAATCAATAAATAATTACAAAAACAAACTGCTTCCTTCAATTAAAAAAGGTATTTCCAATCAGCGAAGGTGAACCAGTAGTCTATGTGCAGCAAGATTGACTGATGCCAAAACTGTTGCTTTCCTTATTACATAGAACAACTTCAAATATACAAGGCAAAATAGAGTCATAGAAGCCCTGCAGAGTGGAAGTGGGCCATTTGGCCCAGAGTCCACACCAACCCTCCAAACAGCAACCCACCCATCTACCCTATCCCTGTAACCCTGAAATCTCCCACAGCTAATCCACCCAGCCTGTACATCCTTGGACTGAGAGAGGAAACCCACGCAGACACAGGGGAGAATGTGAGCACTGAGCCATCATGCCAAACAAAATGGTGGTGATTGGGCTAATTTCCTCAGCCATCATATCTGGAGACATCATTGCTTTAACTGACTAGAATTAGACTAGATACTGTGTGCAAGAGCAAAATACAGCAATCCTCCATTCACTGCATTTTGCTGAAGAAATAATCCTATTATCAGCAGACTTTGCTATACTTTCGGCAATGGGTTTTCTTCCTATAGTTGGTACAGATTGTTTAAATAAGCTGTTTGCTGCCAGTCCCATCTCATCTTCAATTACAGCATGGTTAGAACACTGGCCAAGTAATAACAACCGCAACTGGCATGGCAATGGTGGCTTGGAGAGTCCTTGCGCAGCGCAGTAAACTACAGGAGTCCAACATGCTCATTTTCTAAACCAGCCTTCAGTGTGGATTCTCTTCATTGCACTGTTATTTCATTTAAATGTCTAAAAGTTGCCCATCAACATGAGCTCCGTCTTAAAAGGGAAGTTAAGTGTAGAAGCTCATAACAGCATTAAACTGCCAGATTTTAAAGGCAATTGGTGACTGCTTAACGTTCTGACCCCTTTTATCGAGTGCAGGGTCTCATGTCACTCGTTCACAGAATGTGTTGCACACTGTTTAAAATGAGTTGACCAAGTTTTCTGAGGAGATCCATCCTGCATACCGATTCAATGCATGATCAAAAGACCAATAGTTACAAGAGCAAATCACTCCACAGTTGAGTCTAGCTGTACCTAGTGCAGTTTCTTAGTAAAGATGGGTGACAAAAGCTTTTATTTTTTGGTCGAATGACTACTTGGTTTGAGTTTGGTCTGTTTTTCTCTTTAGTTCTCTGACATATGCCCTGGGGTGATCATGTGCCAAGGAATGCAGTTACACCATTTCGCTTTGAAATGAAGTGGGTAAATCCAATCCAACCCAACACCTTGACATGACTTTTAAACAATCCAAATTATTCTCTAATACAATCAAATTGTATGATCATTGCTAAACTTTCACTCAACAGCAAATGACTTCCTTTATTCCAGGTCTTGTACTCTTGATGAAAAGATCACCTGCTGCGCAAAACCTCAAATCTTTCCTCAACCTTTTCTAACATTTCAATGCAGAGTTAGTGTGTGGCTCTGCACAGACAAGAATAGGCACGTTTTACAGGCAAATGGAAGTTTACAGTATTATATGTCCCACCTCACATGGTCTTGCACAAGACTGTCCATTGTAAATTGTCCGTCTAATGTTTTGCATTAGTTGAATGTTATCCCTTAGATTGCAAGTTTCATCACTATAAAGAGCAGCTGAATGTCAAACTGCAGACAATTCTAGGTTCACCTGGAATCTCAACAGAACAGTCAAAACAATGGGGGCATATTGCAGTTTATACCATCAGCACACAAGACAAGTCATAATAATCCTCTCCCAACTTCAATCATTCAAGCTGTACACAAACTTCCCTGGTGGGGGCTACTTCCCCTAGATAATTCAATACGTTGACCATAACACAGTTTTTGGGAGTATCAAGTCACTTGATTTTTGGGTAGCACTCAAAAGCATAGAACAATAGCCAAGGAGCAATTTAAATAATAATGATCAACACTGTAAAATATCATCAAAACATTCAAAGCTGCAACCATCAAGTGAAATAGCAGAAGGTAAATGCAAAGCATGGCTTTAAGCTAAGCCACAATCTCCAGGTCAAGGGCACGGATTGGTGAGGGGCAAATTCAATATCGTTCTTGCTCACCCAAAGAGCAATCGCTGCAGTCAGGGGGTGTAGGCAAAGTCTGTGGTGACAGATATGGAATTAGGGTGCTGTGGACTTTTAACGGAGGTAGACTTATCCATATTTACCTATACAATCTTGTATTACTAACAGCTCATTCTACTTAATTCCTTGCAAATGCTATGTACCAATTCAATTAATATACAGAGACAATGTCTTGTGAAACATGAGTAGACATACGTTGATGTGATGCTGTGTTGACAGTTTGGTGAGTTTGGATACATTTCGTGACCAAAATCAGCCATGGACACCCTGGGCCTATCAAACTTCTATTGGTTGTATATCTGACTCAGGGAGGCGAGAAGGGAAACCGAAAGGACTAAAAAATCCTCATCTACTGAGGAAAGTCCAACAGAATATACCAAAAATATACAGATAACAAGAATGGACTCTGTTTGGGATACTCTAGCAGTGCTAAATGCTGGTGACAAAGGTTTTAAAATTAGAATAATTTCATTATTAAATACATCTCAATATAATCATATTTCTTTTTAAAAATGGGGACTAGACACTGTCCATTCCACTACTTTGGTATAAAATCTGAAGGTAGTCGGATCATGGTTGCAAGCAAAGTGGTGCATTGCCATTGTGCTCATGTTGATAGAGGATAATGTCTGGAGACTTGTGGGCTTCTCTCAGCGAGACTCCTGAAGATCACAGCTACCTCACATCGAGAACAGTGACTACCACACCAGCCTGGATGTATTGCACATTGCAAGTAAACTTCTAGCTCATTATAGTCCGAGTTCACCCCAAGACAGCTGCAGCTCCATTCAAAGGTCTCAACAAAAGAGCAACTCAAGGCTATCCCCTTATTTTTCAAGGTGACCAGGACTATACTGGTAAGTACTGAACAACTACTTGTGCTGCCTAAGTGTGTGAAGATACACACGAGTAGAATACATCCAAAGTGTAAATGTTGGCACCAGCTCATTGATACTAATGGCTGCTGAACAGTTCATCACCTTAGGTATCCTGGTAGGCATTCCAGTTGCCAGACAACACCAATAATTGGTTCCTTCCTGGCCAAGAAACTAGCTAAATCAATGTAATAAACAGAACCACATAACACAGGAACTGCACCCAGTTATATAGACCAAAACCTTAATGAACCAGAAACAAGAATAGTTTCTAATGTCCTGTTTACTGATGAGCCACTGTATTTCACTTCCAGACTTTGAATCTAGTTGATTTATTGGAACCGAGGACCCATTCAGAGGTTCAAGCAAGAAAGAGGGAAAGTGCTGATTTTTAGTTTACAAATTAGGACGTTTGCAGAAACTATCCACATCAATCCCTACTAGATACTAGATACAATAGCTCACAGCCTCATGCTATCTTATGTAAAACAAGCTAACTGGGATTCCCTTTCACTGCAAGTGTTCTATTTCATTAGTACTTTTAAATCTGAAAATATTGCATGCTGGAAAGAAAAACAAAGCCTCACTGCAGTAAGAAATGGCTCTAAACATTCTATTCCCCTGTCCAAGAGACATGAAACTCAGATCCAAATTTCAATCAAATGAAACAACAAATCAATGATATGATGACTTTCCCCAAAGAGATGCTCAAGTACCTACTTGCTATCGATCTACTGAATGGACAGCATCCAAAATACAGTCTGAATGCTTCCAGAAATCAGCATGGAGTTAACTCAAGTGCAACTTATGGACAAGGGAGAACTGGCACAAGGCAAGTTGTGACATTTGACCAAGTGACTTGAAGTGGCATTTCTGTGACAGAAAGCTGGAACCGCGATGTTCACTTCCCAAGGGCTCTGCAGAGGTCTCTGATCAAAGAACTTCCACAGAAAACTGAAAATACGCACAGAACCAGCATCACTTCCCTTTACACCACAGGTCGTCAAGAAGGATCATTTAAAACCAGAATTTAAGATCACACTAATTCTGTAGCCCCACAGTAGTTCATCCAAAACAGCTAATGTTCAAGGGTAGTCCTAACTTAAGGTAATGAACTGACATTTCTCAAAAGAACTGTTACCTAAATCGTTCTTTTCACCATCACCCCGAAACAATCTATTCAAACCAATATACTACAGTACACACTTCTCCATATATGCTAGTTACCAAAGCAAAGTCAACGCAATTAAATGTATTTCAACATTTTCAAATGCAACCAGCACTGGGATTACCGATACTAAAATGACAGGACATTTAAAAAGCAGGAAACTTCTTTGAACTGAGTCAAATTTCACAAAGGAAACATCGAAAACAAAATTATGACGCATCTTTTGGTGAAGCAACAGCAGTGAGGTCAGTCGGCTACAGCAAATTAATGCAGAGATGACTGGCTCAGGATGTACAGCTAAAAGTGTCCAGAATGGAAGATGTTACACATGACTTAGTCAGAGATCAAAGAACCAAAGCTCAGATGAAAGGAGTCTGGCCAAGCATTTAGGGATAAAGACATAGCGTGTCACAGGTTCAGGTGGAACAGTACATGTGCCCAAAGATGTTATGGAGAGGGGAATATTAATTTCCAGGGGTTGGTGAATGGAAGCTCAAGTTTTATTTTTCAAATCAGTATAAGTGAGAAGGATTCTTGTAAAATCTATCAAGTTTTTGTCGACTATTACACAAAAGATAGCTTCTTGTCACCAAATGCACAGAAACTAACACAGCACAATCTGACATCAGGCAAGGGTATCCAGTATTGAACAAAGTGAACACACCATCAACCCCATCAACCAGAACAGTAAGAAGTGAAATGCAGCAACTTCCCTCCTATATTTAAAACGTGATTCTCCTTCACACCTTCTTTCTCGCAAAAGTCAAAGGGACCTCAGCCCTACACAGCCAGCAGAAAGTTATATAGAGCAATTGAGCTACCTGGTCAGAGCTTCTTACCCATATGCCAAATGCTAGAAATCTACTTCTCTCCTCACTTCAATGCAAAATCTAATATAGTGCATTATTCAAATAGATATCACTATTTAAACCAACACACAATATTGAAGCACTTCATTACGGTGATCAATTATGCAAACTATCAATATAATAAGTAGATTGTATATTTCATGATGAGGGAACATTAGGTTTATCAAGCTTTGGGTGTTCAAATAAAAATGGGAGGACGCAAATGCATGATGTGTATTCTTTTTTAAAAAGGGTGCTGTATGTACAAGACACTGCAATAGGCCTTCCACAAGACATGTCTACAAAACAGGAGTCTGTCCCACACTTGCGACGAAACAAGCTCACTTGGGAGTCCTATGCAATTTTTTTGAGATACATGGGAGGGTGGTTCTCCATAAGGGACTGTGGCTGTTCCTCATCGCACACTGGGATCCCAAGGAATCGACAAAGTTTCATAGAAACTTCTGTCCCATCCGACAATTTTTGCCTTTGTTATTGTGAGAAAGCACAGGAGAGCAGAAAAGTTCCAAGGATGTAGGTGCTTTGGAACTGGGCCAAGCATCTATTTATGGGGTCTCAAATTCTCAGCAGTACTGTTACCACAAATGATGGGATTGCAGTTTGCAGAGATTCTCAGGTGTAAATAGATAAATTTTGTGCATTATATACATTGTGTGCGCGTGTGTGTTTGAGGCAGGATACGAAATTACTTTACAATGTTAAAATTGGGGCAACCTCATCGAAGCATATCATTTAAAAACTGTACAGGAGGCAAAAAAGCACAGCCTGTAGAATACATTTTATACACATTCAGACCACTTCTGTCATAAATAAAGTTTACTCTCTAAAAATTGAACATATTTGGCATGTTAAGAGACAGGGTGCATTGCAGTAAACACCACTGTGGTGCAATATAAAGGCAACGTGCCAGTTGGTGTTGCAGGTCTTGCGGTAATACAACAGTTAAACAAATAAACAGTTAAACTCTGGGAGCCAGGGATGAACATCCCAGGCTATGATCCAACCACCAAAGTGTCAGCTGTCAAAAGTGCCAGACCAAGTTTTTTTTTGGGGGGGTGGGGGAAGGGGGGTTGAAAATTGGGATCCCGTGTGCTTAAGGCGGTTTGATGCAGGTTAGGATCACGAGATCCCTGCTTTACAAAGGTTCCACGTGTAGCTGCCACAGAGTCAGAAGAAAAATCAGGCCTCCCTTTCCTACCAGCCCTAGAAATGGTCAGAGCATCTCTCAACACCAACAAGTGAAGTAAGGGGAGGCTCTCCTTTTCCCTCCACGCCCAACTAATGAAAATGAAACTTCAGATTTAGCAATCAACTTGTAAACCAAGCGTCTGTTTACATTTAAGACAGGTGCCAAAGCTTGTGATTTTGCCAAATTTGGTAGCGTCTCTCATGGAAACAGGTTCAAACTTGAAGAATATTGGATTTGATGGTGTCAGTAAACAGGTGCTGCTCACTCAATAAACACATCCTGTGCATCTCTGCTGGTGCTGTGGGCTAGAATAGCAGCCCAGGGTTGAAGGAGGACGAGTCTGGGAAGAGAAGGCAGAGAAAGGGTAAGAAAAATAAAGTTGCGATGCTTGGACTGAGGAGAGGATAACACCCAAGCATCGCTTTGAACCTAGAAGCCTGTGTAATTGTTACATTTTTAAAAAGTGCCCTGAAGTGGCCTCTCAGGCTGAAGTGATTTCCATGTTAGTAGTTCACACAAAGAAGGCTTTAGACAAAATTTCAGGACTGGATTTTAGCAAATTTTGTAATTAGTTCTGCCACCTCGCTCAAGAATCTCACAGCAACTTTGGGGGATGTATGTGCAGAGATCATGGGATCTAATCCAGAATCTATTTGCTTGTGTGTGTGCGTGCGTGTGTGTGTATGTGATCTTTTAATATGAAAAGCCTCAACGAGCCAAACATCTACCTTTGAGTCGGATATTTAACAGTGCGCCATTAATGGTTTTATAGATAAGTAATGTTGTCATAAAATGTACTAATGTATTTACATAAAAAATATACTCAAACTGAATGTATTACGCTCTTTTAGCCCTGAAGAGGAAGGGGGAAGAGTGTCACCAATTCCCCTTTTCAAAAAAGCACACAAGGCCCTGGCATTATGGAAAGGAAGTCACCTGAACTCCTCTCGGCTGCTTGGCAAAGTACCTGGATGAGCAACGACAATGTCTGTAAAAGGTTGGCAGAGTCCACTCTCAATACTTCAACACCCCACCATGGTTTCGCCTTCATTCGGTTGGAAAAGTTGACTGTGACAGAGATGCCAGCGATGGAGAGGTATCTGCAAATGTTGGAAAGGGGCAAGTGGGTGTACGTACATGGGCCAGGGGGAAAGCAAGGAGTGAGGCTGCTAAACCCAAGCTGTTGGGTGTGCTGACTAACTTGGATCCGGTTGGTTGAAAGAAATTTCATGACGACTGTTTTAAAAGACAGATCACAGCTCTAACATTTGAAGGCAGGGGGTGAACGAGCAGGCTGGGGATCGAGAGAATTAAAGTCAATGAGTGAAACGGCTCAATAGCAGTAAGGAGCAAAAATTACAGGGGTGAGGAAATGCTGACATCTCTGCCCAGTCACGTGTCAACTTTTATCTCATCACCAGCTTCCTGAACGGATTTCACCCATTAGGCAGGTAGAGAGAAAAAAAAAGAAGCTGGACATAAACCCCTAAAATTCTCAAGACACCGTAGAAAAACCAGGGGAACGTTGCAGCCGTTGCTCACAAGCCAAAGAACAGGCGCCTCGTCGTAGAGCAATCCCAAGGAGAACTCACTGCGGAGCGCTAAACGGAACCGTGACATTGTTCGTGATCGCAGCGGCGGCAGCTGCAGTTACCGAGAAACCCGTCGGGGGCGCTATCGAGCTGTGGGTCGGCTGAACGTCCTTGGGGATGCCGCTGTGGGAGGTGAGCTGCGGGCCGAAGGCGGCACTGAACTGAGGGAGCTGCTGCTTGGTGGGGCTGGAGGCCGGCAAGTCAGGGGGCGAGGAGGGTCCCACGGAGGTGACGATGCCACCGCCGTCGCCGAAGCCAGCCTGCGTCAGGCCCGGCAGGAGGACGGCGCCGCCGCTGCCTGGCGTGGCACTGGAGAAGGCTGTGCGCGTGGAGGGCGAGTGAGGCGTGGACAGGGGGGTGGAGAGGGAGGTGGAGAGCAAGTGGCCCTCGGCCCCGGAAGATATCAGGCCGCTGAAGGTGGCGGGGTCACTCAGGCTGATGGTGCCCCACTGGGGCCGGGGGCTGACCAGCTGGGCTGGCAGGACGTGGGCAGGGAGCAGCGTCACGTCAGGGGGGTAAGGGGTGGGGGTGGGCGCCGTGCTGCTGTTGCTGGTGGTGGTGGTGGTGGTGGTGGTGGTGGCGGAGGAGGAGGAGGAGGAGGAGGAGGAGGAGGGGGGGGGGGGTGTAGGGGTGGCGAGGCTATCCCCGGGGTAGGGCAGGGGCCGGGGTGGAGGGGTGGCGTTGTCGCTGTAGGGCGACGGCACGTGTTCGCTGCTGTACGGAGACGAGCGCGAGTGCTCACTGCCGTAGTGCGGCCGGGGGGAGATCAGCTCGTCGGCTTTGCCCAGCAGGTGGCCCCTGGGCGAGCTATGGCCGGCATCGCCCCGCAGGCTCGGAAAGTGTGACTGGTGGCCTCGCTCGGCCAGCCCGCCACTCTGGTTGACCAAGGCGGCAGAGGAAAGGCCCACATCCGAAGGGGAAGGGTAGGTGCCCTGGGCCTGACTCCCCAGGGAGCCTGCCGGGCTGGACAGTGCAGACGGGTGATGGAGGAGGTTCTCGTCCAGCTCCAGGCTGGAGAAGTTCTCGGTGGAGATGCGGCCGTTCAGGAGGTCTCCCAGTTCGTTGTTGACCGCTCTGCTGAGGGCCGGCATCCCAGCTGCAGCGGCGGCAGCGGCAAACACTCCCATCCCTCTGCCCGTAAGTTCCTGGTCACCGTCTCCGTCCGTGTGCGCCAGCTCACCAATGGAGCTCAGGCATTCCAACGAGGCAGCGTACGAGGTCACCGCCTCCAGCGCACGCTCCAGCTCCTCTGCTTCCTCTGTAGTTGGCAGGAGTTCACCATTCTTGCCTAGAGGGTGGAGGCAAAAGCAAAAAGGGCGTCACTTCGCTGCACAAGTGGCACAGAACACTGGGAAGAGACTTCCTTGGCAAATCTGACACGCTGTCTGGGATTGCCGGATGATACATTCTCTCTTGTAGTTCACTGAACTGATGATTCCCTGCTCCCTTTCCTAAATTAACCATGTAGCCCTGCATACCTTACAGATGCCACTTAATGCTACACAGTGACAGACCTGTAACCTGTTACAGGAGCCCAGTATTACAGTGCCAGACCTTTACCTCATAATACCTCAGTATTAAACAGTAACATACGCGTATCCATCACTCTACCCCAGTGTTACAGTGACAGACCTGTACGATCACTGCATCCCCAATAGTAATTAGTCACAGATGAGCACAAATTGCTCTACCCACTGTTACACAGTGACAGACTGGCTGCTGTAACACATGTAAACTTGAGACATTCAAACTGCTGTTCCTCTGCTCACTTATCCACGGTCACTGATGTACACGAGTGTTCTGACTAGAACAACATAGAATTCTATTTGTACAAATCCTTTCAAAGCTTTGCTTTCCCTTTCTCGAAGGCCTACTCCTGCACTTCCACACAGCCCTCTGGAACTTTCTGTAACCTCCATCCTTGTGTGTTGAAGAATCTCCTTAAATCCAGCTCGCATGATTAATTTGTGGTCACCCCCTAATATCTGTTATTTGATTTGGCAACTGCCTGGAAGAAGAGACCTGACATATTTTAACTCAATTCCATTACTCGGCTCTTAAGTCGGAACATTCCAACTTAAAAGGTGAGAGTGTCAGCAACTGAGAATAGTTCAGGGCACCCAGAGATCAAGAAAGGTGCTATTTAAATGCAAGTCTGCCTTTCTTAGGCTCATGAAGTTTGAGGGATCTTGCTCTGTACAAATAGGCTGGCAAATTTGCTGCTTTTGCTTCCTTTCTCCAACCCAGAGTAAGAGGAATAACGTCATTGCATACAGGTAGCACTTCAAAGTTGGTGCTGATTTGGCAGTGTGTCGGCAGATGTGGCATCAGGTCCCTGCTCCTGTTTAAATTCAATCCCCCTCTCTCTGGGCAAGTTGTATTTTCCCTGCCCAAAATTAGCTGAGTAAAAATGATGTGCTCCAAGCCTAAGGCAGGATTCAGCCTTTATTTCAAAGCTAATGCAATATGAAAATAAGGATGTCTTGCTGGAACTATGCAACAGACTAATCAGACCACACCCAAGAAACTATCAGCAGCTTTGGTCTCCTGAACTAAGGAAAGAATTCTGACATTGAAGGCAGTCCAAGAGAAGGTTAACGAGGCTGACCCTAGATACGGAGGGATTTTAACGAGAGAGTTTTGAGAAGGTTGACCCTGTACGCTTTGGAGTTTAGAATAATTAGATGAGCTTATTGAAACATTAGAGATCTTAGGGGACTCTAACAGGGTAGATGCAGAAAGATTGCTTCCACATGTCAGAATGAGGGGTCACCCACTCAAGACAGAAATTTCTTATTCAGTCGTGAGTCTGTGGAATTCTTTACTGCAGAGGGCTGTTAAGGGTGGGTTATTAAATATATTCAAAGTTGAGAAAGACATTAATTAGCAAGGGAATCAAAAGGTTGGGCAAAAAGGCAAGAAAGCGGAGTTGAGGATTATCAGATCAGCCATGATCTCAACAAAGGCAGAGCAGACTTGATGGGCCAACTTTCTGCCCCAATGGCTTAGGCTGTGGGGCTCAGTCCAAAACCATATCTATACTACGCATTGATACTGTCACTGCTAGCCAAGGGATGGGTTTACAATCACCTATTTTTGTAAGCTTTAAAGAGACCTCCCTTCTACACTGACGTAAACATGAAACCATCTCATCTGCAAACACTCAGGATCAAAGAAAGTTTGACTGAAATGGAAACACTGTGACCCACATGAGAACTAAAAAAAATTGTACAGCACAGGACAAGACTGTTCAGCCTATTACAAAGACTCACCCATTTAGTTTCACTCCCCTGGCTCTTAGTCCCTAGATCTTACCACAGTAAAACATTAATTATGAAAGTATTTAACCACTGTAAGTCTATTTAGCACAGAGATGAGGTCCGGGCCTACATTTAGGGCTTGTTTATGTTTTGTAAATGGTCACTTTAAACCACGTGTCATACTTCTCATTCAGAGAACTTCATAGTTCAGAAGCAATCAGACATGATAGGCAAAACTAAATGACAAAACTTGAGCAGTGTTGGAGGGTCCAAACTTGGAAAGTGAGGTCCACAGAGTGGTCACAAAATGGTTGCCTTAGAAAAGAATTAACCCAGGAAAGAGCAGTTTAGAAAGAGAACACGATGGTTAGAAGATCACCTTCAAAGAGGTCAAAGTCCTGCAGGTCATCAGGCAATCGCTGAAGAACCTCCGCCAACTCTTCCTGATTCAGTTCCAGGTCATTTGGCATATCGGTGATCTCATTGGTGATGTCGTCAGGAATTTCATCAGCACTGAGTTCCGGAGTTGAGGAGTTCCTGCATTTGGAAAGGGAAGGGGTCAGCGGTCAACTTCAATATGTGGTGTCTCCTGCAGGTATGAACCAAATTTCATGGGACAGATGCTCAAACTCAAGGATTTACAGGAGAAATCAGATTTGAAAATCTCATTGTAAATGTAACTGCTTCACCCCCTTCAGAGTCTCTATGAAGTCATGCTGCAAGCTTCACTGAAATCGAGAAAAATACAACAACCTATATTTATATAGCCCCTTTAACGTAACAAAATATCTGAAAAGATGACCACCAAATCAATGAGATATTAGGTCAGATGTTTAGTCAGAGGTAGGGGTCGAGGAAAGCAAGGTAGAGAAAGTCTAGTGCTAGTGTGGAAAGAAAGCTGAAGGCACAGCCACCAATGTTGGAACAATTAAAATGGGGGATGAAGAATTTGCTAAGTGCAGGTATCTACGAGAGTTGCAGGGCTGGAGAAGATTACAGTGATAAGAAGGGCTCTACTCATGGAAGGATTTGAAAATATTCAGGATAATTGTAAGCACCAATGTAGGCGAGCAAGCACAGGTTTGACAGTGAATGGTGCTTGCCTACTGCCAATTAGAACAAACGGTGCAGAGCTTTGGATGGCCTCAAGTTTGTGAAGGGCACCAAGTGGAAGACCAGCAGGATTGCCACGGAATAGGCACATTGAGAGGTAACAGATGTAGATAAGTGTTCCAGCAACCATATACTAAAAACACACTTACAGAAATATATATATGGGAGTGGAATGAGGATACATTCTTGAGAGGTAGCAGAGTGCATATGTGGAAAAGTCAGTCAGTCAGAGTCTTGCAGTGTGGAAATACACCCTTCAGTCCAACTCATCCATGCTGACAATTTCACAATCTAAATTAGTCCCACTTCCCTGCACTTGGCTCATATCGTTCTAAATCTTTCCTATTCATGTAACTGTCCATAGGTCTTTTAAATGTTGTAAGTGTACCTGCATCCACCATTTCCTGTGACAGATCATTCCATATATGAACCACCCTCTGTGAGAAAAAGCGTCCCCTCAGGTCCCTTTTAAATCTTTCTACTCTCACCTTAAAAATGTGCTCCTTAGTTTTGAATTCCCCCACTGTAGGGAAAAGACCGTTGCTATTCACCTTTTCTATGCCCCTCATGATTTTATAAACCTCTATAAAGGTCACCCCTCAATCTCCTACGCTCCAGTAAATGAAGTCCTCATTACTAGTGATTCTGTGGCTCTGATAATAACAAAAGAATGAGACTAGAGCAGTCCGACCCAGCTGGGGATGACAGTGGAGAGGCACTGGAGGACGATGACTGGCTGGTAAGGATAGGGAGGGAAAGTGACATGAATGCCTCAGTCACCCATTTCAACCCACCATCAGCAGCCATGCTTTCAGTCAGCTAGGGCCAAAGCTCTGGAATTCTCCTTTTATCTTTCTGCCTGTTGCTCCTACTTTAAGATGCTCAATGACACTTAGCTCTTTAACCTTTACCAAATGGCTCAGTGTCAAAATGAATCTGAATATACTCCTCTAAAGAACGTCAGAACATAGTGTTACTTTAAAAGCACTTCACGGGAGTATCATCAGAAACATCATCAACTTCCAAATATAAATGAATACTCTGCCTTTCACCAAGCCATTGAGAAAATCTCAACTCTACGCTTTCAAAGAACTCATTGCAACCAGAGGGTAATTCTAAATTATTATTCTTCCTAATGGCCCATGTGAAAAAAGACCTTCAACCACAGGGCATCTGACCAATTGAAAGAAAGGCATGCATTTTTAAGCTGCACTATTCACAACTTTAGGAGCAGTACAATTAATGGAACAGTTTTTGTAGTTACTGTTCAAGTGCAGGAAATACAGCAGCCAACGTGCTCAAAGTGAACTCTCACAAATGGCAATGTGATAATTACCAGATGGGCAATTGCAGTGCTGTTGGTTGATAGATAAATATTGGCCAGGACACACCAGTAAGAGACAACAAGGTGCAGGGCTGGATGAACACAGCAGGCCAAGCAGCATCATAGGAGCAGAGAGGCTGACGTTTCGGGCCTCGACCCTTCATCAGAAACGTCAGCCTTTCTGCTCCT